AGGAGCGTAATGAAAGACTTGAGAATTAAGTCAAGAAGAGAAACAGAAACAATAAAACAATAAAGCAGTATGGAAAGAGAGCAGGAAAGTATAAACAGGAAAGTTACAAATGGAACGAAAAGCTAAAGTGACTACTTTTCGTGAAAGAACAAACACACCTCCTTGTGACAAAGAGTTAGTAACAAATTCCCATGTACCAACTTCCCATGCAACGATCACTAGTTGTTTTAGCGGATTACAGCTGTACGAGCGTAAGAAATCATTTCCACATCCTGTTGAGAAACTTCAAAAGCAACTAACAAGTCTGAAATCAATCTCTCTTCTCTTAAAAGTTGTACATAGTAAAACATGGTAACAACTGCATGAAGTATTTTATATTAACAATAGAGAGCAGTTCAGACTGTAGGCTGCTCTAGGCTATGATTCATTCATGGCGCTCTGCCAGAAAAATAAATACATTCAAGACCAATGGCCTCAAGGGGAAAGGTAGGCCACTTTTTAAAAAAAACAGAGATAAATGATTTACAGAACAGAATAGAGTTTAAGATTTCAGCCTATATGGATGATGAGAAAGGACTTTCTTACATCTCAAAGATTTACTGCACAGACTTGAATGCTGGCAATGTATCAACAGATGGAGTAAACTAGGAACTATTAAACAGGGATTTGCAAAACTCTCTCCAAAGAGCAAGAAGTGACCCAGTATACTACTATACACAAAGAAAGTTCATAAAGCCAAATCAAGATACGCAATGGGTATTTCAGCCACGCAAGACAAACATGGCCAGTTCAGACTACAGGCAAACTCGGCTGTAAAGCAACACCTGTAACAGGGAAGACCAATCCACTGGCAGCAGGACAAACAGTTTAAAGGTTGGGAGGGTTTGACACCATGCAGCATCTGCTGCACATAAAAATGTTTAGTTAGCTGCTAAACAGCAAGCAGTACATTCCTATTTTTCCTGCGAGAACATTACCTCTGGAATAAATGCCCTTGCTTAGCTAGCAAGGATCAGAATTAAGATAGCTGTTTCACTACAGGAGCTGGGGCCCACTCATTCTCACACATCAGACTGATTTGTAATTGACTTCTAATGTTTTGAAGCACCATTTCCAGAGCAAGCACCTTCTGAAACACCAAAACCACTTTTAAGTGTGTCTTCCTTTAATATTCAGAACATTAACTGTATTCCTAATGGCTTTTCAAAGACAGCTCCCATTTTAAACACTTCCCTAGAGTTACAACTGCATTTCATCTTTTAAAAAAATTCTAGATTTAACTGCTGCTCATCCCCAAACTTAGCAGTAGTGAGGAACTGCAGACGAGGAGAAACACTGAGCCTCTTAGGATGCAAGATATTCTCATAGGATATTGTATTTAAAGTTCTGGTAGACACACATCTCCGAGGTACCCTCTCTCAGCGAAAAGAACAGCCACAACTTCACAGTAACAAATAAAAACCACCAAAGGGAACAAGCTGTTAGAATGCAGCCTTCACTTACACTGCAGCGATATCCCAGGAGGGGTTCAGCACTGTCCGACTGTACTGAGACATCAGAGCTTCTGAAAATTTTTTCTTTTACTTCCGTAGATTCAAGCCCAAGCTATATGTTGCCCTTAGTCTCAAAATGGAATTACACACCTATTCAACAACGGTAATAATGTATGCATTTTAAGTCAAGGATGTGATTAAATGCTGTGCTAGTCAACCACATGTTGGGTAATCTTATGACACACGATCTCTCTCCACCAGTGCTTGAAGCAGTTATAATTTATGAGCCAGTGGATTCACATCCTGTGGTGCTGTTATTTAACCAGGTTTAAAAAGCACCATCCTCACCTTTTCATAACAAAGCAAAAAAAGTACAGGTTGGTCAGGATGGTTTTGTTCAATGATATTACTTCCCAGTATGGGTCAGGATGTAAAACTTCACTTAGCTGATCTACTACAGGAGGAAAGAATGAGCTCCTTAACAGATAAGAGTGCCTAGCTTTGCCACTGTAGACTTGTTCTTTTTTTATTTGGTCATATTGCCTATTCTGTGGATAAGTTTTTGCTCTATCAGAGCATCATGCATGTCTGTTTTTCCTTTCAGCTCGTACATTTCTATACAACAACCAGGAAGGCCTGCAGCCTTAAGGGAATTATGGGAATTACAAAAATGCAATAGTTACATTTTCATTTACAGACATAAAGAGGAGATAAATGAGGCAAAATCTGGAATAACATTTTAGTTGTTAGCCGTAATTATCGAGCAATGTATTCACTACATGGAATAGGTTTCCAACAATCCAGTGTGCATCAACTGGCATTTTTTAAAAAACAGAAAAACAACTATATTTTTCTGCTTACGGTATTATTTTTCCAAAAGTTGACTACAGGAGAAGAATTCACACACAGAGAGAAAAATAAAATTTCACCAAGAGTGATCTTGCTGAATTTGTCAAGGACAAATCCTCACCAGTGGTGAGCATTCTCTCCTTTAGGAGGACTTAGACCCTTCCCACACAGCCTTAAAAGAAAATAAACACAAGTACAAAAGGAAACCCAGAACATATGAAATTCAGTCACATTAAAAAAAAAAAAAAAAAGATCAATCACATCAATCATTCTGCTAACTGTTCATGCAGAGTTATTTTTGAAGTTGTCCTGTTCCCTACAAGGAGTTGATACATTATGTGCTGTCAGTGTCAGTTCCCAATTGTTTTTGTACCCTAAGACTTTCACAGATGAGGACTCCCCAAGTACAGTGGACCCTACCAAAACTTCGCTACCACCGAACTGCTGGTGTAAAAATCAGTCTTTGGCTCATGCTCCTGCCCATATGCAGTTTCCCCTACAGTGTATTTTACTTGGGACAAAAAAATAAAAGCTGTTACCTCGTCAGATGACAAAACCAGGCAGTTCTGCCAGCACTGCACTTCTTACCTGGTAACTACTTCAGTCAGAAGGTCATGACTCCATCCTGAGCCTTTTCTTGTGCTGTTCATTTGTCCAAAAGCTTTGTGTCTGGCAGGGTCTGTTTCTACCACTGGGATCAGTATTCTCTGTTCTTAACAATTTTCCACCGAGCATACCTAAGTAAGTCAACATCTGATTTCAGATTTCTTTTTACTAGAGCTTGTGCTGAAACGTAAAATTTGTATGGCTATTTCAAGTCTTCGCTACATATGAAGTTAATTTTAAGGTGGATAGGGTATATTTTGCATAAAAGACTTCTAGATTATCCAGAAAGGAATCTCTTCATGCAAACAAAAAAATCCAGCCAAAAACCAAGGTTAATTTAATTTAACTGGTGGCTTAAATTCCCTAGCTCTGTTTCTTGTAATATAAACTTTTCAAATAGGGGACTTTGGCCTCTTACTAATAGGGACAGAGAATGCTAGTACCACACATACAAACATCCTCTCGTTGAAGTCACTTCTTTTGCAGAATATGCCACCACAAAAAGGATAGTCAGCCTCCTTATATCAGAAAAGGGACATTTGAGAGGATGCGTCTTACAAATTCTACATCTATCATCAACGGACAATGAAAAGTGTTAGGAATCTGCCTTTGACCTTAGAAAGTTACTATTTCACAGTAATAATATTTTCCAAGAAAACAAAATTAAAAAAAATCCAGCACACAAAAAAGGGGGGACATTTATATTCTGACTCTGGATTCAGATTTTGCCACTTTAAACTCAAATATTTTAGAAAAAAATCAATATTTAAAAGTTTCTCTGTGATTAAAGTAAGCCTGAATGAGTCATATTAAAAACAATAATATATTTTCTGTCTTCTTTCTTAAATTTATGCTTTGAACTGCTCCCTAGAAACAATTAGCAGCCAATTTCATTCAACTTTTTTTTAAAGTGAGATCACTAAATCAAATGTAACTTGAGAGATGATACTGATCACATAATACACAAGAAAAATATATGCTAATCAGGAAAGATACATTTTATTTCCATTTTTTACTTTTAAATTCTTTATCATTGACACTCTCACAAATAAAATTAAGTGTTCTCTGAATTTATTTCTATTAAGAAAAACATCCAAAATTAGCAAACCCACCTGACACAGTCAGAAATACTGTATTTACAAGAGATGCTCCAAATTTATTGTCACAGATGAATACTGCCAGAAATGTGCATTCTTAATGGCACAATTAATGTGGCATGCTATGTAAAAGCCCAGTTTTCTTTAGTTTAGCTAATTTAATTAAGCAAGGGATAACAAGTTTTATCTTTGTGGATGGTATTTTAAAAAAAAAAAATTCGTATTCAAAGAATCAAACAACACGTCCTTTTGTTCATAAAATTCCCAACTTCAAAGCACTTAAATAGATCTTCTGCCAAACAACACCCATTTCATAAATCTGCTCAAGCAGGTCCTGGAAGTCAATGAACGCATGACTTTCCTTCCAACTATGACACTTCTGACAACGCTAGCAGCTGGGCAGTTGTCATCTCAGTCTCCTGAACAGAACACAGAATGTTTATGAAAGCATCTGATAACCTGGCAAGCTTCTCGTTTCCATCACTCTTGCCCACACTGAAAGTCATTGTCAAAGTTCTCGTCACACATCTGAGAAAAAATTTACTTTTCATGAAGTCTACCCTGCAGAAGCATCCAGTAAGCATTCTCGGAAGAATTCTAAGCATGAACATGTTAGTGCAGAAATAATGCATTTTGGAAGGACGGTTTCATATCTGCTTAAAACTCAATGGACTCTCCTGTTCCCTAAGTCCCTGACAGAGCTCAAATTGGGACAGTGAATGTTTTGAAAGAGCCTGAGGGTATTTTGGAATATAAAGCTAGCCATACATGGAAAATGAGCGGCTTTGGTTTTTAATTCATATGTACAATCAATCCTTTTTACTCAGGTTTTCTGAAAATCCAAGTTATAGCATACAGGAAAATTCATTTCAGTATTTACAGAGTATAATTCCTTTGCCCTATTACCATTGAACCTTCCACCACTAACAAAAGTTCCCACCTTAAAAGTAAAATTGGGCATGTAAATTATCAGAACAGACTTCTTCAATGTACTTTAATCCACTCAATAGGCACAGTAACATCTGCAAAATATTTAGAGAGAAAGTACCATTTATTTACCCATACACAGTATGTCAAGACTCAAGATGTCTTCCTTAACCATCCTTTCGTCATTTTATATAATTTCTTCATACTGTAAGTCATAGATTTCTTCAAGCCTAAAAAATAAAACAAAAAACACACAAACCCCAGAAAACATCAACATTTAGGAAGGCTAACTCAAATACTAGATTCTTACTACATGAATTAAAGTATTTCCCTGCGAGAATGACAGCCTAATCCATCAGGCAGACATGGAAATAACCTTCTTGTCACATTCATAACACAGTAAATAACAACACAAAAAAATACTTCTTATAGTACTAAAGCATGCAGAACAGAGTAGGCTCATTCTGAAGGCCCGACGATGTTGCACACAAGGACATTGTCTAGACAATGACCAAGGTATAGCTAATGTAGAGATTCACGACAAAACTCTTAACTAGTACAGAGGGCAACTTCTGATTTACATCATTGTTCCTACATGCTAAATCCAGGAAGGCTTTCAAACCACCTGTGTCTACTGCAGACCCTCACCAAGCCAATATATTCTGCTTTTCAAGCCCTTTCTGACCTACTGCTAGGTAGCATGTCCAGCTGAGCAGGATTGTAGTCTGGCCCGGTAACAGACACCAGCAGCCTGCCAGACTGCAGCACGGCACCCAAGCAGGGCTACTGAGAGAAATCAGGCTGTTAGGTGTGCAGGTTAACTAGCTGGCCCCATCTGTGAGAGGAATCTAGTTGTCGAAGAATTTCGGCCCTTGAGACAGGAGCCCACCACCAGATTCTGTAGATTAGAAGAGGCCTAATCATCAAGAACCACAGCTATGCCCAAAGCTGCGCAGCTGAATTTTTACTGAAGGTATAAAGAGGCAGGGGAGAGAGGCGTGAACCAGGACAAACAAACAGTCTGCTCAAGCAAGCTCCGCACGACTGGTAGACAGCAAGTTTTATACTTCCAAATCCTACTTTACCAATTTCTTCTGCTAATCAGATTTTAGTTAGCCTTACTTGATGCTATACATCAGGCACTCGGTTGCCTTGCTGTAGTCCAATTCTACACAGTTAGAACTGCAAAGCATCACACTGGTGCTCATCTGGATTAAATGTAATCAAACACTGCACACCGCCAGCAGCTTCCCAGGACAAACAAACCCAGAGCACTGCTATGCAAAGGCTTGTGAATGAAAAATGAGAATTGGGTTGGTTGGTGGTTTTTTTTTTTTTTTCTTCACTGGAAATGTGCTGCTGACTGTTGAGGTGGAAATCTGTTCTGGTTTCAGCAAGTTGTCAAGTACACTGTAACCTCCACGAATATTTTGTTATTGCCTCATTCTAACTAATGGCAGCTACCATTTCATAACTGAGAGCACAGCACATCTGCAAGAGAATAAAACTACTCAACTTGCATAATGCATAGATATTTGTGTCCTTAGGTAGAAAAAGATAATACTGAAATAATGATGGGTATGACAAACCAGTTCAGTAAGGCATATAACCAGGTGAACTCAAAGGAGCAAAAATAACAAGATTATGACAAACAGCTGTAATGTGGCAACACTGCCAATATCAGAAGTATACCATGGACACCAGTGTGAATACCCTGTCACAGGGATGTTGTCTGGACCAATTTTGCTTCAGAGTAACCTGACTGTCACTTGTTTACAATCAGCCTCACGACACCCCAGAACAGCTGTCATACTCCAGCATCATCCTGCACCAGCCCACAAGCACCGAACTTTGGTAAACACCATGCCATTATGCCAGGCCTACAACGAAGGAAGGCATTTCTCAATTTTCATAAAGATACAGTAGGATTTTGCAGCAGTCATTGCCTCCAAGCTTCTACAAGTTTTAGATAAACAGTGACTGAGGATGTCTCCCACACAATTTGCAATGTGTACCCTCAGAGTTAAACACTTTCTGAAGTGCTACACGAGATGAGCCTTCTCATATAGACCTACAGCAAAAAAAGATACAGCCTTTTCCTGGGTTTAGTCATCTAGTATTTGGAAACTTAAAATCAAAATATTGTTAGTCTTGGCATTTCAGCATGGTTCTGAGCTCCCAGACAGTGGAGCTACTTATTTTTCTTCCTTCCAGCTTTTTTTGATTAAAAACCCACCCCAAAACAACAACAAAAAGCAACCAACATAAAACACAGAGTGACTTTTCAGATTACAACAGAGTCTAATCACACCCTTACAAATTCAAAACTGAAAAGGCAATGTTTTATTGCTGCACAAAAAGCTTTAATTTTCACACTTGCATGAACAGATCAAAAAGTATGGCACATTATACTTACACAATCTTTCTTACATTTATTTACCAGAACACTGTTTACCTGACAAGACTGACTAGAAGTACACAGCAGCAATTTAGCCAAAAGTCACACAGTAGGACACACCATAACACAAGGAAAGATCTTCTGGAACAAATGAGCCACTTCAACTCAGGTTTAACCATCTATTGCATTGGACTTTTGGGCAGAGGAAAAAAAAAATGGTTATGATAATATCCGGTTTTGAAAAGACCTTAGAAAGCAACCAAATGAAGATAAATACTTTAAGTGAAAGATGCATTCAGTGTTAGCAGTCTAGAGTCACCAGAAGTCAAATGAGTATGCAGTAACAAGGAAAAGTGCATGCTCTGTTCCTGAAAGAATGTGACAGACTAAAAAGCCTAGCATAACAAATATCTTGTATATCACCAGTTTGCATTTCTTGTCTCTCTAAGTGCAATTTAAATAAACTCGATTTTACATTTTGCAAGGAATCATGCATACACATATTTTCAGCTTACATATGGGATGCACGTGGCTTTGTAAGCTCAAACTTTTCTATATCTAATAGGTTTTTGCTAAAAGCAAACACACAAATGAAGTCATGATGGGCTTTCCTTTGCAGCATCTCAAGTAACAAGTAAATAATCACGTAAATTCTGAAGCGCCTCACATATCTGCATTAAAATTGTACGTAGTGTAGGAATTCCAGTTGCAGAACGAGGCCAGACTGAGCTCAGGCACAGCACATAAATGCAAGAAGTGGCTCCAAAGTTAAAACTACGTAACTGTACAGCTTTTGAAAATTACTGCCCAATCTCCTAGGTACTATACTTCCAGGATACAGCCCCTTGAATACTGAAGTTGCTCTGCCAGAGTCGATGTTGTTCTGCCATTCCAATGAAGTCGGGGTAGTTCTGGAAGGACAGTATGCACACGGCATGTGGCAAATCAACAGCAACACAGCTGATACAGCCCTGCAGGAGTAATTATGCAGCCTGCAAGTCAGGTTGTTCTATCAGCTTGCCAGCCTACTCTGCCTCTTGCAGCAGCTCAACATAAAGAGATTTTTCTCCTTTGTATTGTCCCCCTGCAGGGAGCACTCTACTGAACTCCACCCACTGGAGCCTTATGTAATGAGATGCTTACATTTCTGCCCTAGCACATCACGCTACAAAGTGAAATACAGGTTTGTACATACAGCTGGCTTCTTAAAGCAGCCCTCAGGGTGATGAGTCACATCTGTAGTAAAAGTTAATGGTTGTAATTATGGCTCAGTCTCGGAATCTGAAGCAGTTGGACCACATGAAAATGTCTTTCTACTCTGGCTATGAGTCTATGACTTGGTGGTTCCACCTCCCCTTTAGATTTTTCCACTATATGATACAGAACAAAGACCTAATGCACATGGAATCAAGACCACAAAATTTCAGTGTAAACATAAGTTGTATCTGGTTTTAATTAATGTTCCATGTTCATTTTTTTGGAAGTGTTAGCATTGTAAGATAGTAATTTGGCTACAATATAAGTCCCCTAAAGTGTACCAGTAGATATGCCTGGCTGTAGTATTCATTATTTCCTTTCAAAAAAAAAAAAAAAGACTAATGCATATACGGCTGAAAAGCTGGCATGTGGAGGCAAATAGTTACATATTGTTAATGTATCATGCACAAGCACATGCAGACTTAGACATATTTACAGTGAGGTGCAGTGGTATGCAGTATCTGCTCAGGCAGCTGTTGAAGACAGCAGTTATCACGAATCTACAGAATATTTTATTTATAAAGCTGTTACTTATAGTTAAAAAAATCTTCCATGAAGACATACTATACTAATATCCCAAGTCTAAGAAAATAAAGTGTTATTCAGAGCAGCTACAAGCATTTGTGCTAACTTAAAAGTATCTTGAACAATTGCTTCAACTGATGGTTTAATTCATAGTATTTTATTTATAAGAGATTTTCAAGGCCTGCAGCATTCCTCTAGCAACATATAAAGAAATCTAAGCTAAAGAAGTATGAACATCTCCTTCAGAGGAGCTAAATATAAGAACTTCAGAGTTAGTTCCCAAAGACCGGGTAGACTCTGGCTATGTGGGAAAATAAATCAAATAGATGGTGCCATCTCTAATGGGAAACAGAGAGGCGATCTCACCACAGACTCAAAGAAATACATAGGCACATTTTCAAAAACTAAATAGGGCATTTAACAACAAACAAAAACATAGAGCTTGAGCTTAACTTTGAAACCACACTGGCAGAGACAGATGAAAAAAGTTCTCATAAATGGGCTGAAATTCTTGTTTCGCTTGTGCGCCTTGCCAATAATGTTAATACACAGCATGCCATCCCAGCAACAACTAGTCCCTATTTAACATTTAATTTAGAAACATGCTGTACATTGGCCTACCATGCTATAGACCAGAGTAGCCATTTCGCTTTTTTTTGTTGTTGTTAAGACAAAACAAACAGCTAAGGAAATAACTGTGTGTCCCTCATTACCCTTCAGAGAGAATGATGGCCATGTAATGAAAACTAATCCTTCTGCAAAGAGACTTAGGACAAAAGTACTTGTAGAGTTACCAGGAACAGCAAGAAAAAATAGCCACAGCTTATTTAATGGAGCCACTGATTTAATGAATCTCTTTCATAATTCTCTCATTTTAGCTACTATCCTTGACGTAGGCACTGCAGAAGGACAGAGCCGTAATACTCTTGCTAAAGTCTCTACTACAAAGTGTGAAAATAGGTCTTAGGGGAAGAAAACATTAGACCAGTTTTGGTTAAAGAATGAAGAAAGAAATACAGCATCCTTAGGGATTAAATTTAAAAGCTGAACACTCTCCTGTAATACCCATTCCTTGCACGAGTCAAGCAAATACTTTCAACGTAGGAGCCACCATTTGCTGTCCGTGTACAGCATGTATCGATGTGCCTATCAGCAGATAAAAGCCCCGAGAAACGGCAAACACAAGGTGAGCGGCATTAATGCCTGCCTACTAGTGACAAATTGTTTACGTTAGGAAACTGATTGGGAGAAAATCTTCATTAAAAGATACAGCAAGACTTCACATAAAGTCAACCGTAAATGTTTGGAGAGAAACAGTTGAATAAAAACAGGCAAAAGGCTTCTACTAACTCACTGCTAAACCCATGGAAACCCATCTCGCCTAAATTCCAGGACAGATCACTGAAGATGATACAAGCATCACATCTGAAAAATACTGAGGTCACATGCCTGGTCAGCTAAATTTAATTTCTTCTTTAATGTGCACTACAGTGTAGGTTTTTATTACAAAAACACTATTCCTGTGCTTCTCTCCATCTTCAGTGAGTAAAACTGGTGGTGCTCTGGTAAGGCCCACGCACAGGATCGCTGGGAAGCAGGGCTATGCCTAAACCAGCAAGGGAGGCAACACTTATTTTACGTGCAGCGGCACATGTTACCGACAGCCTCCCGATCCTCTCTGCAGCAGCAGGACTCCCGTTCTCCAGCCAAGTCGGCCTGCACAGCAGTGCTCAGGAAGGTTAGCTCCACAGGCAAGCTTTGCATTCATTAAACAACACTCAGAGGTTAGGAAATCACTCTACGTAACCGGCTGGTTAGAAGGCAACTAAAGTTTGTTTTAAAATAAATTAAAAAAACCACAACCCCACACTATATATACACCAAAAAGCAGTTAAGACAAAGGGAAGAAATATAATTTGATAAATATCTAGTTTCAGGTGCACAAAACAGAAAACACGGTAAAAATTACAAGTCCTACTAAAACATGCCTTAGGACTTCCCAAAAGTCCTAGTAATACTACAGGCTGCAAGTGATTTACTGCATGACACACGAAAGGAGCTAACGATTCCCAGAGGTGATTTGCTTTCTATCAGAAGAGACAGGAGATGACCATGAGTAACCTGACAAAGCTTGACTACTTTTACTCATACTCTTGCAGTTTACTCATACAGCTTTGCTCCACGTGTCAGTCAGGCCGCTAACTGTCACAAGCACTGAATTCAGCTTGATAACCACTGCCTTTGACACCACTCCCCTCCAATTATTTTGCTCACAAAAATCTACTCTCTGTGGATTTAGAAACATATAGATGACAAGCTGGTATTTCTAAAAGAAGTATGTTGCAATAGAAGAAGTCGTGACCACTACCAGGTAATTTTGACAACAAATCTTAAAAGAGAAACCTCACCTATTTGGTTGGAAACCTTACACTAGAAACTCATACTTGCAATATGCCTAACTCATAGAAAATAAAAAATTTGCTTTTCTCAGAGCTATGTCCTTAGTTGCCTCTAGCTCCTAAACAAAGTTAGGCAACAGTTCTGTTATACTTCTTCCAGTTAATGGAATTACACTGTTAACAGAAGCATATAAGAGGTACAACTGTTTCTGCTTATTTGACTCAGCAGACCACTAATGGTCCTGAACACTGCAACTTGTGTTTCTTTACAAGGGGGTAGGAAGTACAACAGGGAGCCACCAACTTCAATACTAAATGGGAAGGGAACGGCAGCTGTAGAAGCCTGGGTAAGGATTGCTCAGTCAGAAACTATACAGCTGCTTTTAAAACCAGTAATGGCATCATTTGTATATAATTGCTTTAGTGGAGGAATTAGGAATAAGTATCAATGAGTCCAGAAAATTATACGAACAACTTCATGCAAGCAGCAAGGATTTTTCACTTTGCAGGCATTAAGTCTATCTCCTGATCCCAGTTTTAAGTAAATGAAGGGTCAGGTCTTAAGTCTGTCTTTTAAACTGAGCTGCAGTGCTTTCAACTTTTTAAAATGTAAAAATCAGGGCACCTTAAAATTAGATTTATCCCAGAACTCAGAAAAGAGGATAACGCTCCAGCTATGTAACTGGCATTAACTTTCATTCAGTTAGGAAGACTTTAATAGCTGAAAAGCATCCCTAGTTTCCCCATGTTTCAATCCAAGCAAGTCCTTTTTTCCTCCCTTAATACCTTCTCTCACATTGACTTTGTAATACTCAACCCTTCTTCTAATGTAATTAATTTTGAAGTATGAGAGTCGGTCATATCCAATGCACACCAAGGACAGGCGGAGTTTGGAATATGTGATGTCTTCAAATACACACCTGTCTTCCGAGCCTGACATCAGATCCTGTCAAAGTTCTCTCCCTCAAAACTCAACTCCTCCTTCATTTTATGATGAAATAACCTTATAGTCTACATAACACACCAATATTATAAACTGATCATTTAGGGATCCACTCACATGTAGAAAGATAGAGTGAATTATAAAGTCATTATTTCCATTTTTTAATACAAGAGCAGCAGAACTACTGCACATCAGCCAAACCCGGCCCACATATAAAATAAAACTGAAGTCAGAAATTGGGTTTTTGTTACTTTTGGGTTTTTCAGGTTTTTTGCTTGTTTGTTTAAGCATCAGATAGACTCCAATTCCTTTTGGTATTTTACAATTTGTCAGTAGTTATATAAAGCTTCTGTTTTAAATATTACTTTTATTTTCCAGGGGCTTTCAATTAGACACCCAAAACCTTTATTCTTTAACCTCTTGAAACAAGCCAGTCTTGGGGCCCTATAATTTTTACTTTGTGAAATCAGAAGGCCTATGTTGATAGAAATCACACACATTCTTACCAGCTGTTAGTATGGTTTTAGCACTCTGCACTATACTGGAAGATCTCACAATTCCCGAAATGCCTGCAGATAGAAAAGCACACAGATGTTACCCATCCTAGCAGTTTTGGTGGGATTTTTTTATTCTCCAACATACACAAACAAGTTAAATAATTTTCGAGTTATACAATCAAGCCAGCCTGCAAGTGAAACACACACTTAAGCTGAGAAAGTTTGTCTCTGTTCAGCTTTCTCATACTAATTGAAAAGACCCTCTAAGCTATTTTAAATTATTTTATATATAACATAAAAAAATCAATATTAAAACAGATAACAACCAGTAGGAATTGATCAAATTAATTCTTTTAGTGCTCCCATTATTTCTCTAAGAAGATTAGTCACAAAGGATTCAGAGTTGTTTCCTTTAAGTTCTAGCACATTAACTTTCTAAAACAGAACAAATTGTACTTATTGTTTACTTCAATATGAAACTGGGATTTTGCACTGCTCTGATTAAGTAGAGATGCCTACATTGTGCAGCGTTTGTCTGGCCTTTTTAAATTATCAGCTTTTGGAGATAAGGCTCGGTTACCACTTTGTACTGTGGCACATTCAGTTCTCATTGTACAGTGGTATTAATGGAACAGTAAATAAAACATTAAAACTTTTTCTTTTTAAAGTACCAGGTTTTATCTAACACATTTATATAAAAGCATACTGACTTGTGCAGAAAAAAGCTACTGTAATTACTACATACTTAAAAATGTAGAAACATAGCAGTCCCAGAGTTAGTCTCTCAAACTGAAAGTTATTCTTCTGCATTAACCAGAATGTAGAATATAATTTCAAGTATTATTTAAAAATCTGTCTTTCAAAGCTACTTCTATAGTGAAGAACAAAGCTTAGGGAAATTCATGAATAAGAGGGATACTATATTCCCCGGAAAATAATATGGGGTGGGGGTGCAGGGATGGGCAGGTAAAGGGAACAAATCATGTTGAGCTAGTAAAATACTTCGGAACAACGCAATTCAGTTTGAGTAATCAGCTTTGTCTTGTAGAATTACCAAATGCCTTGTCTTATCCTCTACCCAGATTCTTGAATTAGGGAAATGTTTTGGCCACAAAAGTGGAAAAGGGGTTTTGATTTGTTGTCCTAAGAGTATAAACTGCCTGACTTGAGCAGACTAGATCTATCTAGTGTTTTGATTTTGAACTGGTGCCCCACTGTGCACAGTCACATCTATGCCTGCAATACCCCACATAAATAACAACCACGAGGACAGTTAGCTCAGGGTGGACAACTCTGAGCTCTAAAGCTATATGCAGCCCACAACCACTGCAACGCCTGCTCCAGGATTCAGCTATTATCACATTACTGTTGCAGTCCAGCCATCATAGCATAGAAGCTGCCACAGACTGACATGAAATAAAACAGACACGTTGATGTCTGTGGAGAACTGCAGCACTCAGGAGCTTAATTTTCCCAAACAGAAATCAGTGTAAGAGCTCCCTCAGCAGTTGGCTAGTGTCTAGTGCCTCTCAGGCATCTAGGGAGTTTCTGGCGTGCTCAAGCAGCTTGCAAAATTGGCCACTTGCAACCAAGATGTGTCAAGTTCTTTAAGGATGTGAAGAACTCTTCGGGTATTAAACGTTTTCATTTTTCTGCGGAATAATAAAACATTGATGTCTGCAGTATAAGCTTTGATTTGCTCATATAGCTTCTGTGGGGCAAGATGATGTTATCTGCAACTATGAGAAACATCTCAATCATTTTCCTCAAAGCCCGAGTTCTCTGTCAGAGCTCACATATCTGGACTAACTACAAAAACTGGAAAAGGTAATGTCAGCAAGCTAAAAAACTCACTTAGCATTGCAATGTACGACTCCAAGGATCTATAGCTTAGTATTTAGATGAAGTTATGCCAGCCAATGAAGTCCTGAAGGTGTAGGCATCCCAAAGAGAGCTAGATGGTCTAAGCAGGCCACACTAATCCACAAAGACTACTTCTTTCAAGTCCAAACCAAAACGTGCCTTTCTATATCAGTAGAAGTGCTATTTGCTAGTATTTCAGAGAACCTGTTTGCAATCAAACAAATCCAAACCCATGCTTTTAGGAATGTATCTCAAGACTAACCTCTTGTTTTCATCTTCCTTCTCTAAGTGGAAGATCATGTCTGATCTCGAAGAACACGTACAATAAGTCTGTATATCTACCATGTCTTAAAGGAGATTACAGACATTGACCTCTGCCTACCTTGATGCACCACAAATCCGCAGTCAGGGTCATGGGCAACTTGCAGTAAGATTTCTTCCACATCTCTGTTTTTTCCAGGAGGGTCCACCAGAGAAGTTATCTTTTGTTGCAGAGTCCTTGGCAAAGCCATTAGTTGTGTAAATTGACCTTCTGGACTTTTATCAATCTGAATGATTGATAAAAGTAAAAAATAAGACAGTAAAAACATTCAGTGTTAATAAAGTAAGTTCCCTTTTTCAAAGAAGTCAAAAAAGTCTTCTGCCTATCTTTGACCTCTGATAAATATCCCAAAGAACACGACCCATTTTACTTGCAAGAGTCACTGACAATGCTAACGCAAACTTCCCAAGCACTGAGAATTGCAGTATCTCAGTTCTGAACCTGAAGAACAGCTCAACGTAAAGATGTTAATTTTTATCCAAGGGAAAACTAATGTACACACATGATCTTGCTACCTCTGCAAGCAACTTGTCACTGAAACTGTATTATTTCTGCTTTATCCAATTTCCTTTGGAAAGCTGAATACACTACAATGCCGGGGGGTGGTGGAGGTCCCAAAAGACCACTTAGCTCAGTTTCTTCTGCCCAAATATAATCAAACTATACACATACACATTTCAAGTTTAGTTTGAAAAACATTTTCTCTGCTTTAAACTCAACCCACATCTGGTTTGTATAATTTGAAGTTAACATTCATTCCACATTTTCCAATCTAAATCAGAAATTCAATGACCCTTTTTTGAATACAGAGATACCAACATGCACACCTGGACACATTTACACAGAACACAAGCACAAATACTGAAAAACTCATAATGGAGCAGATATCTCCAAAACTGGAGGAAAATGTGAAGAACTCAGTTCCTCCCACACAACTTTTAGACAGCTCGTGGACACATCAGACAGGAGTCTAGTTGCCCTATACACTCCCTTTAGTCAATGGGGAGAAAATGATATCCAGATGAATCACCCACTGACTACAGAGGGAGCCGACAGTGAGCAAGCTCCTAGCATTATGTGGGAGGAATCCACGCCTGAACCAGAACTATAAGAACTAGTATCTGCCTTCAATTGGTTTTGAGGAGTCTTTTAAGACTGCATTTTCTCTATAACTCTGAAGACATATGCTTGGAGAGGGGTTTTCTATTCTGTGTTAAACAGCACTCCAGATAGCAGTTACCCTCTTCCTACCCTGAGGAATAAAGGCCAATAACCAGACCAAGATGTGGGAACACCAAGTATGAAATCACTTTGCTCAAAATCAGCAGTAAAATGATGGCATTTAACCAACTGCCTTGATGACTACTATGGAATTACAGACACATTTATTATCCAGTAACACATCTGTAGTATGCTGCCAGGGTTTGTTTAAAGGTAACACGACAGGGAGTATTCTTGTAACTAGCCATTTTCTTGGAGAAAGCATTACTGATTCTTTTCAACGTTCATTTAAATAATTCTTCCACTAAACTGTTCAAAAGCACATTGATAAAACATGGAGACAGCTGCAGTGTAATACAAGTTTGCCTACGCTGTACTCCAAAGCATTGCAGTAAAATTGTTTACTGTACACAAGCTTGCTTGTATCTGTACTTCAGTGTCTAAGAAAGACATCCTGAAAGGAGGCCTTTGTGAGCTAACTACCAAGGTGACTTGAGGATAAAGAGATACCCATGTCCATGAGACAACCCATGCTATTTGTAACTTCATGTTGAAATGTGTACCAAACTTGAATATTCACAGAGGGACACGCATACTACAAGAGGGAAAAATGCTACTGGAACCCCGAGTGTGGCATCTCTCCCCTAACTGCAATGTTACATTTACGCCAGAAAGATGGAATTCAAGATACTGGTCATTTTGGATACCTGCTTCCCAAATACTAGTAAAAATTGGTTTAGTATGGGTATTTAAAGATAATGCCAGAATTCCATGTGGGTTTAGTCAACTGATCTTCATAACTAGCACTCCGGGGTTTTCTTTGCAAGATGCAGTTTTTGACCGCAGAAAGCTGCACCTCTAAGTTACAGCCTGATCTTTTTAACACAAACCTTATGTTTATTCATCACTTCCTAGACTGTGGTTCCCATATGGTAGTCATTAGAACACACAATTTAAAATTATCTACTCTTGTTCCTTTGCTAGTGCTCTAGTTCTGTGCCCATACTCAAACAAAATGAACAGTAGTTACTACACATGCAGAGACCGGTATTTTAGGCAAGTCTTCTGGCTGCAAAATTAACTAAATGACAGAAACATAACAAATAGCAAGTACAGTGACTACAACCGCTCGCCTTAGTGTATGACCTAATTCTTGCCTTCTGTCAATGTGATAAAGCACTTCCACTTCCTTGTTTTAAAGATGTTTTGAAGAACACTTGCCTCTAGCCTTCCCAGATGGTGCTTATACACCACCTGAGGGCAGTCCTGTAATATGTTACTGTACAGCTTCTGAAAATGGACAACATTAGGTTTCACTATGTTCTGCACTTTCGATCTGTCTTCTCCTATTACCATTCTGAAATCACCTAGTCAAGAAAAGAAAAAGTTTATTAATTAAGAAACAAATGAATACCCGAAGAAGCAGAATATAACGGAAACCAACATACTACAAAGCTGCCATCTAAAACTTTATTCTCCAATTCTACCGATGCCTGTATAATCCACAATAAGGTTCACCTTCCAATAGTCAAAAAAACCTTTTCAAATACCTTCAAGCACAGAAAATAAGATTCAGAATTTTTATGTGGCCTCTCATATGCTGTCATGTCATCAACCCATGTGTCCACATTTTCACTCAGACAACAAAAAAATTCCAGCTGTCAAGTTCAGTCTCGAGAGCTGCAGTAACATAGTTATATTCTTTGCAACCATACATCAGTTTCAACAGATTACTAAACAGATTGACCAGCCCAAATACTTCGTAGGTAGAAACAAATAACCTTCAATTTTCGAATATTGAAAGAAAATAATTTGCATTGTCTCTGCATTTCAAGAGCAGCACCTCAAGTACATCTAATAGCAGTCTTGGTAAGATCACAGGATCACCTTTTCCTCTTAGCTACATATTTTGTTAGTAAAAAAAAAAGAAAAAGCAACTCCTTTTAATGCCACTGTTACATTACTGACCTTTACAGTTTTCTTTTATGATACATGACTGAAAAGTCTTGAAGATAATAGGTGAAAAGGCAGTTAGTCTGTAACAGCGCACTCATCTACCTCTATTAGGTACTACCCTGGCAGCTTCCAGGATTATCAACCACGAGTCAGAGGCCCAGCCCAGCACATATCAACAAAAAATCCTGGATCAATTAATTTTCCCACTTCCCACATTCAGGAGACAAACGGTGTTGCAAGGTTGCAACTTGCTAGCATTACTCCATTTATTTCAATTTATGGCAAGCCGCAAAACAAACACTTCCCATATAAATGGTACTGACTCACTGCTCTCAAAAAAATGCATATAAAAATAAAAGGATCAACATTTTCCAAATTAAAGCATGAACAACTCCTTTCACCAGTCCCCAAGGAGAGTGATCAGAGTAACACACAGTATCAATTCTGTCTACTTGTATACCCTCTGAAAAGTTTAAGACTTAATGAAACGGCAGCAAAATAAAATATCCACAAACATGTAATTGATGGCCTTTTTCATGAACATTGCCAACCGGGAGTCTTACTGCTTTAGCTTTGTTCACACCGTGGAGCCAATCTCAACCTCTTACAGCACGGTAACTGATCTTGCACATTTTTAGTTAATTGCACTGTTTCAAAGGATGCATAAAAAAGTATCTTGGTCACCAGTGCTCACCAAAAATCTAATGACATTCCTGGGCAGGTTTCAGGTGAGCAGGTATGCAGTCCTGTAGTAAACACCCCTGGTTAGCAACCCTTAGCCATCCCACTGGCAGTACCCTCTTTACTTTACTGTTGCTTTCAAACAGATAATGATTCAGAAAAAAATGGTAAGGAAATGCTGAGCAAATTGCAGCTTATAAACCCTACCTGCCTACCTGTGCTTGTTCTTAAAAGCCAAACTTGCATTTCTATATGAGCAACGAAAGTGTTGTATAAAGTACAACTCCAACCAAACTTGTTCACAGTGATTTCATTAAGAATATCAACATTTAAAGAGCCATGCTAAACTAAATTGTAACAATTAAATCTTGTACTAAGGAGTCATTTGAAGTATTTTTTTCCCATATCAATTTTATAACTAAAGAAAGGAGGAAATTCTCTTACCAAAACAAAGTCAACAAATACCAATCAGGAGGCAAGTGTTAAGTGTACACTGAAGAAACTTAAAGATCCCGATTATGATCACTAAATAAGAATCTTAAACACAGCACATGCAAAAAGGTAAGAGATAACAAAGCGTGGGTCAGACTATCAGATGAATCAACCTTACACAGCGTGGAAAGAGAAATTTTTTCCAAGGTTTTGAACCATCAAAACAAAAATGTAATCCATATAAACAGAAAAAACCCATGTTATTTCACCATATTCAATCACCCATATTTAGTGGTTCATAAATCAAGCAGGTATAAGAAGTTTTGCTTATGTACCTATACCTGTTTTCTGTGCATAAGCACAATTACTCTTCACACGCTGTTATATAACACAGCAGTAAAATATTGTTCTTGGAGCACACAACAGCGTGGGCCCAAAGCAGGGGAGCAGATGACGTATTACACATCAGGCTTTCTACTGTGGTACAACAGCTCCAACTACAGCTTTGCTCCTCAGCGACTTCAGACACCACATACTAACCAGAATAGGAGAGTCCTGCAATCTGCATATAGAGGTCTTCTTCAGAGAAACTTTCCGGTAACATGAGAAAGGCTGCTGTGACGGCACTCTTCAGATTGCTAACAAGAGCAGCTTGCAGCTTGCTATTCTCATTCTGTGTCAGTATTTTCACCTGAAAAAGCAGAGTCAAGCAAGACTTCAGAGATGCGCCACCGAAGATGGAGCTAGAAATGTTACTCAATCCAACATGAAAAATAAATATGAAATTTATTTAAGATTAGATCCTATTATTATGGTAGAATAAAGACTAGAGTATCCCCTTTTGTTTACATAGTGGGAGAGAGAGGAACATTTTTAAGAATCAATAGCCTGCTACAAAAGGTTGTTTTTACAAACACAGCCAGAGCTGCTATAAGCAACAGCCATTAATTAACCTCATTTTTTTATTTTCATGAATTTAGGAGTAATCAAAACGCAAAATATGAATGCATCAACAGAAATACTTCATACGTGATTATGTAATAAGAAAAAAAGACCACTGTGACACGGAAAGACAATGGAATATCAGAAAAAAAGGTAAGTTTTCCTATTCATCTTTCTTTTTTTCTTTAACTACAGGACTTGATCATATACTTCAAGTACTTTCTTAGACATCAGTTGTCCTCCTAGAAGAAGCAGGGCTTTATTTTGCACTTTGTATGAGCGGAATGTGAAGTCAAAGGGAACTTCACATACACATGAAGAACAGATTCCTGAAGTTGAGTGCGTCTACGTGCCACAAAGAAAAGTTTATTTTTAGGAAACATGCAAACTGTTCAAGACCAACTACAGAATCCAGTCACCGAGGATACGGGAATATACTGGAATAAAAAGAAGACCTTCAGTAAGAACTGAATATAGAGACATATTATTATAGACAGACGAAATCAGCCTGGCTTACAAGATGGCCAATTACACCGTTTTGGAAACAACTCTCCCTAGAATACCTGCCTGTTAAGCAACACCATCTTGCTTATAAAGGGCAGCTTCTTCAGACTGGTTTACTCTAGAATACCTTAACATGCAAACCCATTGGCAGTTATGAACAAATGTATCCAGCTTGCTTTTTCTCCCCAAAAGCCCATTCACACACAAATGAGTTGCAGTGTTACTTGAAATTCTGTCGCCAAATATAACCTGAAATAGCCAAGATCTACTTTCAAGCACATATTTTCCTTTAGGAATGTAAATACTCTGTTAAGGAAGAAGAAAATAAAGGCAGCCAACGCAGATTCAGTAAAGAAAGTAAGAGAATCAGACATATCTGCTACACAAAATTCTTCTTGCAGAAATGGCAGTGACAAAGCAATGTCGTGGTTGGCCAATACTATATTCAGAACATGATTTTTAATTATGGTGAAATCTTTAAGAGGGACAAAACTACAACAATACCTCATTTTGATACGGTGGTGAATGCAACTGTACATGGGCTCCTTGTTTCAATCATTCTGCACTAAAGCATGAGTTTGCCTAACACCAAATCTATACGACAGTCTGGAATTGGTCCAGGGTAGATTTTTGAAGGATGTTTTCCGCTCTTTCATTTTCATTTTAAAAATAAATAGTTCATTGTACAAATAAACATTTCAGAATTACTCCTAACTTCTCCCACAAATTATTTTGTATTTTTTTTTAGCATTAAAATGAAAGACATTGATAGAACACATTGAAATACAATACATTCATCTGCCAGAATAAACTTTATTTCCTTGAAAACCATGGGAGAAATTTACTGCATGCATACAGACTTGCTCAGATAAGATCCAATAAACAAGACAGGCTGGCCATGAGGATAAACTGATATTGAAAATCTCTTCAACAATTCACTTGTACGTACTTTAATAACTTGCTGCTACAGGGAAGCCCTAAGGAAAGACAGAAGAGCAGTCTGTGGCACTGCAAGCAGTCACACAAACTCCTTATACCTTAGGATAACCCTGGAAATAACAGCAAGTTATAGATGTGTGTTAACACCACCACACTTTTAAAATGTGAAACTCAGCAGAGATGCTACTCCCCCTCACGGAACTCGCTTTAGTGAAGTAAAAGGAACAATCACAGAATGGTTCTCTTCCTTTGCTATGAATATTCTTTAACATAAACCAGAATTTTTTCAAAGGGCTAGAATATGCTAGGCTTCACAATGTAAATGCATGAAACACTGCAGTAGTGATACCATTTATGAACAAACTTTAAACAGTTCAGATAGCTAGAAGTCTCCCAGGAAGACAGAGTGTAATAGTTATCACCCAGGTATGACAAGAATGAATGTTGACTCTTGGGGTAAAACTGAAAGAAGACCAAAGTTAAGGAAGGCTTTGTCCCAGTGCACAGAACTTACAATCAGAACTACTCACTGTACCACATCAGGCAAGGGGGAAAGAAGCCGTCAATTTATTTTGGTTTTACAGTATACAGTGAATTCAGTCAACTAACAGTACAGTTGAGACTTTAAAATTATTAACTATTTTAAATGAGGCATATATTCAATTTTATAAGTAAGTATGCCCCTTAGTAATCAAAACGGTTTAAAGCAGGAAATGTACTACCTTCACTGCTAGGAAAGTTCATACACCAGAAACTGCAGGCATGCATGCACAAAGGTACTTACAGACAAACAAAATATACAAAGAAAATCTCATTATAGAACGAAAGGTGTAAAAGCACCGTTCCAGTTTGCCATTTAGCCACATCTACACTCTACTAAACATCACAATACAAGGATGTTTCCATTCTCTTTCAAAAAATGTTTTTACAGATTTGGACAATGGAAAAGTTCTGTAAACAAGTATGTGGTCTGTCTCTCCTTCACGGGAATTTTTATAATATGAAAAACCTAAACCTCCCAAGGTGTCTCTAAAACACTACAAGCTATTTCTATACACTGTTCATACTCCTCTCCCTCTCACCTCACTTTTATTTATTGAATGCTTCCTTCTCTTAATAGTTTCTCCAGGACAACAGCAAATACAGCTGCTTACACAAAAGCAATTACTTACACTCTAACAAAAATTTAGTAACACTTCAGATCTTTTTAAAATCTTCTTCCTCTGAAAACAAATTACATGTCACTTGTACTTATTTTTTTTACTTTTTAGGTACAGCAGCATTACTTTTTTTTTTATTTAGGAAACCCATCAGTTATGGAGGAGTTACAAATAAGTTTATTCAATTTTTCGTTAGTTAAATGGGTATTTAGCTAATCAGCATTACAGATTTCATGTCGGATGAAAAGCCAGTAAACTTTTAACACAAACAAAGCCTGGGAAGAAAAGTTCGCATTTCTAGATGGCAATTCCAAACTCCATCTATTCTGCCAAACATTCTGGAAAGATTACTCGGTCAAGGCAACCAGTTCATAACAAACGAAAACCTTCAGTGAAAGTTAAGCCAAGATTCTCAAGCCAAAGCAAATGTTTTAGCTTGTGTGCTAAAACAGCTTGGATGGCTCTCACTAACGGAGTGACAGCTTTATAACAGAACACCAGAAAGGCACCGAGCTCTTCCTCCTCTACATGAGAATGAGGAGGAAATTCCCAAACAATCTGTTAAACAGTATTAATTCAACTTCAGTCAGCTGTGTCCACAATTAGCACAAATGGCAAATGGTATGCAAGAGATCGTAGGGTATAAGAAAACAAACAAATGTAACCCCTTGTCCCTTCCAAAAGAGATTTATTGTGCATTTACAAGGAGCTAAAACAGCTTTCTATATCACTACCACTTACAACAGATATATATCAAAACATCAAATCAGTTGTGAAGCCAGAAACAGCAGACATTTAAAACCTGTACAACAGATCTAAACAAATTATTTGGTCATTTTTGGTCAACATGGTGTAACACTCAAAATCATAGTTAGTGGTTTTATAGATTCTACAGGAAAAGAGACAGTTCAAAAGTTTACCAAGTAATCTTTCAGTCCAATTCTAGTTTAACTCCTGCAGTATTTACTCAGTGCAAATTCCTGTGAGTTTTATGAAGATAACCTGGACTGATTTCTTCTTTTATCTACTAAACACAGCAGTATCACTGCTGTCTTGTTAGTAGCTGAACAAAATACCAAATTCTGCCTTCTTGTGCAAGCACGTACTCCCATTGAATTTAATCAAAAGATACGAAGCACAGTTCGTATATGTTATGAAGATGAAAAATCCTAATATAAATCAAAGCAGCAGCAAAAGCAGTTACACTGAAAATAAATATTCAGCATTCATCATTAATGTGAAACTCAGAATTCTTCCTTCGGTTATGTTCCTCAATGTACTAAGTTTCATTCTTTATAAAGATAACAGCTGTTCTAACATGTATCATGTTAGAATACGACCCTGGAGATGGCAAAAAGCCAGTAGCACTGAGACAATCTATTCAAACTTTCACCCCAAGTTTTTAGTTACAAGCATAATTAACTTCTGTTCTAAGACTTGAACAGAGTTCTTTCCTTCCCTGCCTCCCCTCTGAAGAAATTTCAGCTGCTGCCATGTGCTGAAAACGCTTCAAGTCAGGCACTGATGGGAAGGCACAGACCTCGTATTTTTTACGACACAAACATGGAGGAGAACCAGCATGCTTCAGAATTTGGTCAATTATAGATACTTTAACAATACCACGAACTAGACACTAACTGCACAGCGAAGCAGCTTTCATCTTTAAAGACTTCCATTATTTAACTGTGTTAAATTTTGGCGACTCCTATAATTTGGCATGAAATAACATTTATTATTATAACATTTAACATTAAAGGGACTTTGTGTTTATATAGTCCAGTTATTCAAGATTTACTACAGGCAGAAGACTGTGATTAATATACTTACCTCCAGTTTTTTTTCTCATAACACAGAACATCATTAAAGACTACATTTCACTTCCTTTCTGAGAGATTATCCCTCTAGGACTAGACCCCTAAATCAGGGCAAATTACTTGTTCAGTACTGATGCATAGATCCTTAACAGTTAAAACTACAACTGATCATTTTCCAGCCCTGTCATTTCCTGCATTTCAAGACAGATAACTGAACAGACTAACAGTTACCGGTTTTTGTAGACGTCCAGCGACATAGAGGGTTTTCCAGTGAAGTAAATCATCAATCAGGGTATCAGTGCTAATTACACCATATTTTATCATCTGGAAAAAAAAAGTGAATTAAAGGCTTTTGAAAAACGATGCACCGTTTTCACTATATGAAACTTACTGCTTAGTTACTATAACTGTCATTAATTCTAAGGTACTCACACCACCAATAAAAAAACTGGATGGATAACATTAAAGAGCCAAGAACAACAGAATTTCATAGCAAAGCCCATTGGTCTTTAAAATGTTTTACATTTTACAAGAGGTAAAAGAAAAAAAATTCTATTTACATGCAGTCTTGGGGGCGAGGTGAAGTGGAACAGGAAGATGCACAAAACCCTCTAAGATCCTTTCTAGAATCAAAGTTACAATAAAGTCACCCCAGGATCAATCACTACAGCAAAAGACTTAAAAACCCAAAGAAGCCTAGCCTAGACAGACATTGACACTGAAGAGATCTGAACATTACAATACAACTGTTCATTAAAAGATTTTTGGAAGGTTATGATCAGTTTTGCACCAGCCAAACGTTAACAACAGTTGGAATAATCCACAGTATCCTTTATGATATTGAAAACACTCAAGAAATAGTTTGTCGGAGATCTAAAATAAACAAAACTCCCAGACATTTATGTGTACCTTTACTGGGGGGTTGCATGTGTATCAAGGAGATTTTTCTTTTGCTCTTTAATGTTAGAAAAGAAGTTGTGATTTTGCAGTTCATTTTATGTAACTGGAAAAAACATGAACTTTCAACAGTTTGTTACCAATTTGCACTTCCTGAGTTTCCAAAGATTATCACCACAGCAAGGCAGCCAACTCTAGAATTTCTGGATAACAAAGGACCATAGGCTGTGATATGACAGTCATTACAGCACAAGGTAAGGACATAAAGAGCCAAGAACAACAGAATTTCATAGCAAAGCCCATTGGTCTTTAAAATAAAATCCAAAGCCCCCTTTCACATAAAGAGGACAAGATTTAAACTCCAAATTCTTGCCTCACACAGATGCCTTTAAACAAAATAGCAAGTACGTAATAGACTGGACTATCTGCCCCTCCAACTTTCCGTGAAGAATTCCGATGTATACCCAACATTGCTGCCATCATGCATGCTCTGAGAAACTTCAGGTAGGGATATATTGCTCACACAGCATTTTTCCCCTGACTGTCCTTCATTTCATTTCATTTCACTTCCCATCTTTCTTAAAATAACTTGCTTTCCCTATGTGCAGTTTGTTACCAGATGGCAAAAGTTACTCAAAATAAAATGCTGACACAATGTTTCCCTCCCCTGATTCCTACCTGCGCTCCCTACCGAACACAGTCTACACACAGATGCAGGGGCAGGACTTGCTGGACAAGTACTGCTTACCTAAAAATATTAATTATACCCAAGCTTCACAGGTCAGGATGTTAGCCATTAAACAACATAGATGTCAGTTCCAACTGTAAGAAGCCACTTTCCTATTACCACATGGTCAACTACTGAAATTAAGGCCCCCTTTACCCATGTGATACGCTTCACAACCCCCAAAACTGGCAGAAAGCAAGTAATAAGGAACATAAATTCAGTTTCTGAAGTGCTTTAGTTGCAAATTCCAAACATTGCTCGCACTTTTAAAGTGTAGGAGCAGCTGCTCTGTTTGCTTTTTAATTAGTGTGCCGTTCGTGAAAGTTTGAGACAAAAATATCAAAGATAGCAGGAGTGAAGGACTAGTTGCAATCTACAAGATTTTCTTCCTGCACAGAAATCCACGTTAAGCTAACTGTTTCAATACTTCACAGGCAAACATTTGACTTACTCAAACTATTTGTACTTACCCTACCGTTACACGGCACTAAAGTATTGTAGTAAATGCCTGCTCCATAGCTCTGTATACTACTTATCTGTTTTGGCCCAAAAACTTTTAGGAAGGAATAATGACTCCTGTTCTTTAACAAGTTCATCATATGCCAGGTCACAGAATCATCAACAGCAAACACAAAGTCCAGCATATTGTTCTGTGGATAAGGAAAAAAGTATTGGTGTTTATATGTCAGGAAGCAACTTATATTAATCCCATTAATCTAAGATATACGTGGTATCAAACTACCAGCTAATCATTTTTCACAAGTTAAAAAAGAAAAAACAAAACAAAACACAAGCATTAATATCAGATACAGTTTAAAGGCTCCGATGAAGTTGTGTTTTCTAGTCAGCCTAGCAGAGATGGTCCAAAATTTTCCTGTCCTCCTGGTTAAGCGACCAACCTTCAACCCTCCAAAACAGCAGAGCACGTGCCGAGCTCTCCATCGTCCTTGCTCACAACCCAGCACAACAGCTTCACCTGCCAGCACACGAGGAACTGGGAGATCTTGGCAGATACAGCCAGCTTAGAGCTGGCAGCAAGAAAACTGCACTTCTAGTGTATTCACACACTTCTGTCAACAAAACAATCCAAATTCCAAAGACTTGTGATGCACAACGCATGCCCTGCTCTTTGGAAGAAATCAGCCCACACTCCCCGCACGCAGACAAGCTGAAAGTTTACAGCTGATATCAACAACAAACCAGTATTTGCAGTAACATCACTTCAAATTCGTTAGGCCTGCCTCTCTTCATGGCCTACTCATTCTGGGCTGCATGCTAGTTAATACTACTAAAAAGGTAGTCTGCTAGCTACTCTTTTTCCCCGTTCTTTTGTGTGAGGATGAGGTGCTCCTAGAACTCTGAAATTCTTATTATTCTCTGTCCTTCTCTTTTCAGAAAGGAAAATGAGGCATTTCAAGTCGCATTCTTGGGGAGCACTTAACAGGCAAGCCCTACTGAGCAACACCGCCTATAAACAACCCGAACAAGGTTGAACAGACGTAAAAATATACGTGTATGCATACAAAATCACCATTTCCAAGCAGCTTGGCCTCCCAACAACGAGGAAGTGCCAAGAACGCCACCTGAGTGCAGCATCGCGCTCTGCTTAAGCCCCGCCAGGGGCCCGGGGCTGCGGGGGCCCCTGAGCCACCCCCCACACGCCG